AAAAAGGAAGTAAAAGAAATTTAACATAGTTTCAGTAATTGTTCCTGGGACTCTTTTATCTTATAGTTACAGACACTAAGTGGCTATGTTGTGGAGTTCATAACACATACTTTCAGGGCAAACAAACAAAAACAATTGTCTTAATGAATGGATGCTTATAATTTCAGATAAATTGTTCCGGAGTTGCATCACACACAGATTATACAATGAATTGTTTTACAGAAGAAGAACATAAACTTTAGGAAACCCAAATATTTTATAGTGGACAATAAGCCTTCCTGACTCTGTCCCAGAGTGAGATAGTATCTTTACTATATTGTATAGTAAATAATTCTTTCCTTTACTCTGGAAGGAGATGTTTCTGTCTTCCAAAGTTTTTCACTATACATCTTTCCGGCTGACTTAACTAGAGGTGATTATTTTGTAAAAAAAAAAAAAATTTAAAATTGATTTTCAAAGTAGGTCTCATGTAACACAGACGCTGATGCAAAGATGCATCTGAGATGTTCAAATTATTCATGGAAATATAAGTGCAAATAAAATCAATTTTTAAATGAATATGCTTTATTTTGTATCATTGAAAATGTTTGTAACCAAAATGATCATATAATAAATTTTAAAATGGGTGTTATACTTTTGACAGATATAGTTGGAGGTGATGGGAAGGGAAAATAATTCTAAGTGATGCAGATAGTAAAGATATAGTGAAGTCTACGTTACCTTGCAGGACTAACCAGGGAGACTCCCCCAGTTTTGTGAAATGTAGACTAGGGGAGACAACCAGGGCAAATCTTTGAAGGTCTTTAACTCCAGATTGAAACTTGAGCATTGACCTTTATTTTCTGTGCAACTACTGAAGGAAATGAAATTGGTTAGTAATCATCTTGTGGATATAATTAATACTAGTGGTAAGCGGAAGACTAGAAATGGTGTCATGTAATTTATTGTACAAGCTATATTGTTATCCCAGTGTTTGACAGAAGAAGCCAGCCAGACAGCCTTTGTTAAATTGAGCTGATCTGTAATGTTGCAAGTACAATGAGTAGGATGATACTTTGCTTTTATTTGGATGCTACTGGGGAAGCATTACTTTGATAAATTAGAGTACACAAAGCAAGACAGCGTGAATCTCTTTTGCCATTCAAAATGTCATGTAAAATGCTTCCTGAACTGGTTTAAATCAGCAGAATTTTTTTTGTCTTTTTTTCTCACAGAATAAGAATTGGAATTACATTGAAGCGTTTGTTACACTTATATGAGAATATTTCAAGAAAGTGACATTGGTTAGCTATTTAAAATGGAGGGAGATTATGGAGTGGCTTTTCCTAAGGTGGTGACGGTACCATTCGTCTGCCAGGACTGAAATGAAAGAACTCTGGGAGACAGAAAAGGCAGATTGAAGAACTAATGCTACCAAGCTGACTTTCCTGGGAAGACACTGTACTGTCCACACAAAAAATATTCATACTTTTTGGAAAAGTTATTTGCAAATTCAAATTCTTAGATTAAAAACTAGGCTTGCCAGGAACAAAATTAGATGAGGATGAAGAATTTTGCCCTTAACTGTCCCCAAGCTCTTGGGGACACTGAATTGCTCCCTAAGACTGGGCTCCTACACAGCGCACAAAGCGCAGTGTGGTTCCCGGCCCTGAAGGACTTCCTACCTACGGCTGGAGCCACACCACAGGACGTGTGCTATTTTTCTCCCTTCCACAAGGGTAATCTGATCCCCTTGCTACCTGCTGACCGCCCCTCCTAAAATCAGCTTCTTTTCTGCCTCAATATTCTTCTCTGGCCTCCATTATCACACTCTGATGCCTACTGGTGTGGTCCCTCTTCTGTTTAAGATCGGCTTTAAACAAGCTGCTTGGCAGGTCACCCCCTGAGGACTTCTTATCTCTACAAACCAGGCAATGTCTGCTGTACCAGAATTTTCTGTTCTGAGTCTCTTATTGTTGCTTCTACAGTGAGAGTCTATTTGTAGTCCCAGCAGCCTCTTCTCCTGTAGTTAACTGGGCCATCACACTAATGATAGGAAAGATTTATATTACTCTGAGAGGCATGTAAATGTAGAGATGAGGAAGGTAAATTCTAGGGTCAGGCTACAAGGACTCAGAAGTCCATGTTGACCTCACATTACCTTAGCAATCTTGTTAAGAACTATGAAAAGTCTAAGATTTTACTACACTTGGTAATTGGCAAGTTAGTCTGTTGCAGTTTCATGGATATCGGCAGAAGACATGAGATTCCTGGGTCAGTGACGGAGGACAGTTTATTACTCACAATAATACTATTAGCCAAAGTATCAGTATTTGTGCTGACTCCCTGACCCTGATAACAGCACACACAATGGGTTGCATTTCATGAGTGACATCTTACATGCAAGGATCCCCCAAATTTTACAGTAGACCATGATTCTTCCTTACATGTGCCTGGAGAGAGACATTACTTTTATTATATTGGATGGTAAACAGTGTTGCTCTTTGCTCTGGAAGGACATAATATCTCTGCCTTGCAAGGCGATGTTGCTACCTTTCAAGTCTATTCACTGTACAAACACCCATGAAAGGGGTGCTTGTTTTTGCAGTGCTTCTGTTTGCAAGATATACAGATACATGTGATGTATGAAGAATTATCTTCCAATAATATATGTAGGTTCTCAAAGCCTCAGTTTTATCATTTCACAAATGGAATTAGTGGTATAACGTACATAATGGAGAGAACGAAATGGATATAGTACATGTAAACTTCTTTATAGCATGTCTGATGCCTAGAACCATCCTTGTCACATTGATAGCAGGGTGTTGTTAGTGTTATCACTGTTACAAGTGATCAATTCTTGAATAAGATGCAAGCATGTTTATTGCATTCTTTATTTCTTCTAACAAATAGAATAGTACCTCTCATTAATATTTCTAAGTATTTAGATCACAAAATATTAGACTTAAAAAAGACCACAAACTTAGCATTTACAGATAAGGAAATAAGTTCAAAGAAGTTACCTGACTTACTGAACTGCACACAGAAAAGCCGTAAAAAGGACAAAAGCCATCTGATTTAAAATTCTGATTCTTTTCGATGACACATGATGTGCGGTATACTGCTCAGTCTGTACTGTATTACCAAATAACTGAAGCAAGCCTGTAGTACATTAGAAAACGTTTCATATGTTAATTTGGTCACAGTTTTCTTCTTACGTGCTTGATTTATAAACCGCTTTAGACCTAGGGCTGGATGCTTCTGTGGTGTTGAGGAACCAAAGGCATTCTATCTGCCATGAGCCTAAAGCCAGCATGCTCCCCACGCTATCTCTTGCCTCAGTACAGAGTTAAAATAACTAACCCATGTTTCATTCTGGCTAAAGGTGGAGAAATTCTAGAGGAATATATTGCTGGTGTATGTCAAGAGCTTCAAGCTGGCTTGCAAAAACTTACTCAGGTATAGTATAGCCAGGAATATCAAGAAAGGAGAAAGAGGAGTAAAAGAAATAACATCCGGTTTCAGAAGGCAACATGTTTTTCCAGAATTCTGGAAAGATCTGTAGCAATGAATTCATTGAATGTCGTACCTCTTCTTAGTACTAATCCATTATTTCTCTTTCCTCTTTGAGAGTGAGCCACAGCATTAGCTTCTGTGGGACTCTGAAATCCTTTCAGGGACATTAGGTAAGAAATGAACATGCCTAGATAACCAAAGCAAGATTTTAATAGGAATGAAATGATAGGAGTGTGAATTGCCCTTCACCTTTATTTGCCTGAAGTCTTCTACGAAGTCACTTACCACTCCAGATGATTCTGTCCTGGGTGTTTCACACACACTCATGTGTGGGACCTGTGAGGCCCATCCCTCCACCCCTCATCCTCAGGGAGCAGTGCCCTAGCCTCTGTGGGACAGAGGCAAAACTGCTTGGTGTCGCCACCACTCTGTGTCTCTTCACAAGATGAGTGTTGTGTGTGTGAAAGTGTGTGTATGTGCCCGTGTGTGTGACGGAGAGGTAGAGAGACAGAAAAAAAGACAGAGACGAAGACAGAGATAGATGGAGATATTGTGATACAAACCATGCTGTTTTCCTTCGCTTTAAGAACTCCTAAAAAAAATGTCACTTGCTTCGTCTACATTGTGAAACATTGAGGGAAAGAGTGCTTTTCTTTTCTACCTGGAGTTTCAGTTTGGGAGTTTTAAATCTTGTTTCTTCTACATTGTGAAGTTTAGGAATAGCTCCTTTAATTTTCACTTGGAGTGTTCTTTATGCCTGGAATCAGTGACTCTAGAGATGAATTTCAGCGACAGTGCCAGGTATTCCAGAAAATCCCTAGACCTGGATCCCCTGTGAGGAGCGTCAGGCCTGACACAGTTGATTATTTCTTCTGAAAGAAGGACTTCTGTCTTAGTGACGCCCCAGGCGTTCCTCAAATAATCTTGTGCAGGTCCATCTTGCATTGATGTCCAGTTATATGTACCCAGAACTGGACAAACCAGGACGTCTTTTGAGGAAGCTACTAGGCCCTCTGGCCCTAGGTCCCCACCAGACATGCCTCAGGCTGGTAGGCAGTAATAGGTGAGGTGAAGCAAGCTCCCTGCTACAGATAAAAAAATAAGAGATAAGGTAAAAAGAGTGTTCAGACAATTGACTTATACCCTGCTTGCCTCCAAGTGTGAATGAGGTCACATTCCTTAAACTCTAGATATATCCCTGTTCATTCATTTACTCTTATTTCTTACCAAAGTGGGAATACTTTAGACATGGTTCTTGTATGACACCTATCCTAATCTGCTGCTTCACTTTATGCCTTTACTTTAAGCCTAATACCTCAGTAAATGTTAGATTTATACCATCTTATAATTTAAAAATATCCCCTCTGAAGTTAAGATACTAGTATGAAGAACTCTTAATCCCTATGTTGAAATGCAAGTATTCCAATCAGATATTTTCAGGAAATAGGATTTCAATCAGTGATGGATATTTTATTTTAATGTTTTTAATGCTGTCTCTGCCTCAGGTCATGCAGATGTACCTTCCATTTTGTGGAATCGCCATATCTAACGCGCAGCTTTTTGCGGCCTCAAGGAAAGAATATGAACGAAGCAGGGTGAGTAGAAAGAAATTTTGCTGTTGATCTTCAGCGTTCTTGTTTCTGTGAGTCAGTATGTCTTTTTTTTTTTTTTTTTTTTGGTACCGGGAATCAAACTCTGGACCCTACGCTTGGCAGGCAGGCGCTTGTGCCGCTGAGCTATATCCCCAGCCCCAGTATGTCTCTTAAAAACAGCAAGTGGTCTATGGATAGACCAGGAATCTTTTTGTGCATGTAATTTTGCAAGACTATGGCTGAAGATACCGTTTAACCAGTAAGTTCAAATGGAAATGGCCGCAAATTCTCTGCTGTGGTTTGAGGAAAAGTATCCTAGGCTATTTTAAAGAGGAAATTAATTTCATATCTGTATAGTAAGACAGTATGCTTACTTGAAGCTTTGAAACAATAACATAATTTGGTGATATTTTTATAATTTAATTCCTGTTAAAGGCAAAATAAGTTACAGACATGATTTCACCCTGCCTCCCAGATTTTGTTTTTGAATTGAAGGGTTTTCTGGAAGAACATCACAAGCTGCTTGTGATAATTGTGAGAACATGACTCTATAGAATTATACAGAAACATGCTCAGAGGGAGTGATCTCATATACCTCCGGGATTTAGAGAACAAAACAGTAAAAAAAAGCAGAGGCTATTGCTCAGAAAATACTAAATTATCAAATGGATTAAACTGTATTGGACTCACTCTACCATTTACATACAGGAAGATTATGATTACAACTTAGTAATATATTTAGCAAGATGAAAAAGGCTTGAAATCCAGCCTTTTTGTTAAAGTCTTTCCATGGTCACTTAGTGTTTTTCCTCGTATACACTGTCACTTTTCTGTTGTATAGGCCTGCCACACTGCTTTATATTATTTATCAGTAGTCCTCCTCTCCAACTGCATTATAAACTCTTTAAGAGAAACTTCATTTATTATCAGTCTTTGCATCCTTGTGTAAAGCACAATTCATTTACTTACTTAACAAATATTTATTAGTAGTTCTTTTTAGACCCTGTCTATCCAAACTGTCTGTTCTCATGGAACTTATATTCTTGTGGGAAAGATAGATAATAAATTATAATATAGTGTCAGCTAGTGGTGGAGTAAGTTAGTGGTAGAGACTGATGCGGAAGGGAGGATGGGGAGGTGTTTCCTTTAGAAGACAATTAAGAAGGGTCTACATGGAGGTGGAGCAGAGACTGAAATGAAAAATACACATAGGAGCAAAGACACTCAAAACTCTGCATCCAGACAGTGGAATTATCAGGTTCATAGGCTCTGAGTCATTGTGTTTAGAGAGTAGAGAGAAAGGGGGAGAATGAATAAAAAAGAAAAAGAAAAAAGAAGAGAAAGGAAAAGAAATGAAAAGAGAAGAGAAGGAAAGAAAATGTGGATAGGGAGGTGATCCAGGGGCCACATGGTAAAAGGTCCTGTGGGTATGTCAAGAATTTTGTCTCTTATTCTGATTGTGATGGAAAGCCATTCAATAAGTCTAATTCATCTTTAAAGGGGATAACCCTGGCTTCCCAGGAGAAAATAATGGGCTGGGGAGGAGGACAGCAGATTGAAAGCAGAGAGAGAAGTTAGAAGATTACCTTGAAGTCAAGAGATAATATAGCTGGCACCATGATAGTGAGAAGGAAGATTTCCCTCAAGTTAACTGTGAAATCCGCATGGTTTGCTAGTGTGGGAAATGAGCAAAAAAAAAAAAAAAAAAAAATTGGCTTGTGCATTTGGCAAATAATCAGTTGGACACAGGGTGCCTAAAATTTTTGAGTGATGTCAGGACTGAGGATTAAGATTGGGAATCATTATCATAAATGTGGTATTCAAATCCAGGGGACTAACTGGGTTCATCTGGGGAAAGTGTGTAGCTAAGAGAAGGGAAGAAATCCCAGGATGAGTCTGGGACCTAAGAGGGTCACTAGAAGAAAAGGGGGGAAAGTGCAGTACTTGTTTCCCAGAAGGCAAGTGACATTAATAATGAAGGAATATTCCGGTGTGTGAAATACTTCCAATGCCTGTTGAATATGCATATCTTCCTAGATTTTCATTTCTTTTTCTCTTGCTTTGGAGCTAGTCTGCACTGTTATTGTGAAACTTTCATTATTTGTTAATAAAGTAGCAATTTTCAATTCAAAAGAAAATTGTGACTTGTCAGTGGCAAGATTCCAGGCACATTAGTTTTTCCTCTGAGATAAATGTTCTTGACTATAAATCCAAGAGGCTCTCTCCATGCAGCGACAATAGATTGAAAAGGTAAATAATTATTCAGTGCATATGATCAAGCTGAAGAAATAGTCTGGAAGATTAAGGAAACAGTATCCCCTCCCCAGGTATTGGAATTCTGCTTGTAATTGTACAGATAATTGTTTAGTTTTTAATATCACGTGAAGATGAAATTACACATTGGCCTCTTCTGTGATTTGTTGTCCAAATGTGAGGGTCAGGAGCCACTTCAAATTGTTTTTACCTCTTGGTGTTTTCTTTTGGTTTGGGATCACAGGGCATATGGCTTCAGCCACAGTCGCAGTGATCATCTCTCTTTAGAGAGAATACCATTTTCGGGTTTTGTTCCTCATTCAGTGGCTCAGTAGACTAGATTAATTTCATGGATCTATTAACTCATTCAAATGTTTTCTACCTGAATGGATTCAGAGAAATTTTCAAGTGCTTCAAATTGTTTCAGGACAAAACAAAACAAATTCTTATATATATATATATATATATATATCAGGAATCAAACTCAGGACCTTGCACTTGCCAGGCAGGTGCTATGCCACTGAGATGTCTCCCCCAGCCCCAACAAATTCATTATTAAACCTGATAATTAGTCATACTGCTGGCACGATGCACTATAGTGAATACATATGAACTTGAAAATTCATGAAATTTTTTTGTGAGAGGTCAGACCCAAGATCACACATCCTATTAAATTCTATCAAATAAAGTACCTTCCAGTCAATTCAGTTACTGTATAATCTTTCAGTTGTCCTAATAGGACCATAATGTCTACCATTTATACACAACCCATTATTCTGAAGACTCTAAAACCATCTATATCATTAAAAATTCCAAATAAATATTATTTCAAGGCATAAATTGCAAAGTCACTTGTCTGGAGAAAGTAGAGGACTATTGAAGTTCAATTTATTTATTTATTTTTTTGGTCTTTTTTGAGACAGGGTTTTACTATGCAGTTCACGCTGGCCTTAAACTCACTACATACCCCAGGCTGACCTTGTATTTGCAGTGATCCTTCTGCCTCAGCCTCCCAAGTTCTGGAATTGCTGGTACGGGCCACCACGCCTGGCTGTAGTTTAATTTTTAACAAAGTACACATCATTCAATTTAGAATTTAAGTTTTTGTCTTTATTTTTTGTGCTTTTTGTTCTTTTGCTTTTCCTGGACAGTTGAGGGTGAGGCAGTATTTCTTCTTGTGGAGAGGGGTTAGTGGGGATTTTGTTCATTTTCTGAAAGCTCTGAATTTTAATTAGTGTTCACCTCCATGATTCAGAGTTCTGTGAGATACGTATATTAGTGAAAATAAGTCTCAACTTTGACCATGAAACTATTCCTGATAATGAAGAAAGACTGCTTTATAGTTTTCTGAAAAACAAAATGGTTTTTGGTGAAAATTAAGTGTTTGTTATTTATAAAATGTTAGATTTATACCTAGTCACATAGCAGGAAGGTTACTGTAGTAGGGGTAAAAGCCTATAGCCAGTGACCACATGGTCCCTATGACATGGAAGGTCTCCATTCTTAGCTATATTTTACAATTTAAGTGTGAGTTATGAAATGAGATGATGAACTGTGCTAAAATAATCATGAATGCTTTAAAAACTATGTACACAAAAATATTTATATTATTAGAGCACAGGCTATATGGACTCTGAGGGCAAAAAAATACCAACTTTTTTCAATCTTATATCCACCGAAATACGTCTCCTTTCTCCCAGGCTTTGTTAGAGGTAGTTAATGACCTCTTCGAGGAACAGACCGACCTGGAGAAAATTGTCAAAAAAATAATGCATCGCGCCCAAACTCTGTTGAAATGTGAACGCTGCTCTGTTTTACTCCTAGAGGACATCGAATCACCAGTAAGTTCTATTTTGTTTTTCAAACAGAGCTGAGGACTTGAAAGGACTAAAGCTGAATTTATCTGTGTTTAAACCTGTGAATTGGTCACTGAAACAATTCCGTTCATTACTCTTCTAACCACGGGTGGCTTTTTTGTAGATGCCAGTTTATGTATTTATTTATTACAGTAGTGGGGATTGAACCCAGGGCCTATGCACTGAGCTACATCCCCAGTACGTCTTTTATTTACGTATTTTGAAATATTGACACAGGGTCTCACTCTAAATTGTCCACACTGGGCTTGAACTTTGGCTACTTCTACCTCAGCCTCTCACTACAGATGTATGTCACCATGCTCAGCTATCAGAATTTATTCCCTTAGATGTTTTTTTCATTCTTATTTTGTCCTCACTTAGAAATAGAACCTTTGGGCTAAGGGAGAACCTTGAGATCAATCCTAGCACTGTGTATTTACTGATGAAGGAGGTAAGGGGCTACTAACTGGTTTGCCTTGTTTTACACAGCTTAACTAGAACAAAACTCAAGCACATGCATCCTGTTTTATTTACTTATGTAGGGGAGCCCTCAACATTGCTGGGTATGCACTGCACTCCTCCCCTCAGCAGGGATGGAGGAAGCAAATAGACACCTGGAGAAGCAGTGGCTTTAGCTCTTGGAGCCTCAGCCAGACTGTTTTCTGTGGCAGGTTGTCTTGCTGGCTTTTCTAGGTTCTTTTCCTACTGCTTTGGACTTGTGGTTCCTGGCACAGAACATCTTAATCAGCTGAAGGAGGACATGTCCCCCCTTACCACAGGGCCTCTTGGTCCTTGAGAGGAAACGTTATCCAGTGCAGGACCTCAGGCTGTCTGCATTTGTATGATTTGTCGCCAATCTTAGGTTCTGCTCCACCCTTTGGCTCTTGGGGGAAAATCTGCTGGGTAAATGCACAACAATATTGAAAATAATGATCATCATCCATCAAAGTTCTTGAAAGTTAAATGTCTAAACCCTTGACAGCAATTTAATGTCTTTGCTGAGAACTCCCTTCAAAGACCAGTTGTTTAGCAATTAAGAGCTGTTTTAATACCTCAGAGAATGATCTTTTCTGTACTGTACTTAGAAAAGATTATTATCTTTGCCTTTAGGTTTGCTTTTTCCCAAGAATAAGAACTTGAAGATGAATATTAGAGATTTAATAAGTATTGTAAAAAAACAGTAATATACAGTGTCAGTAGGTTCATTCCTTTGTTGTCCAGCTCCAGAATGGGCATGGTAAAAAAGCCTGGAAGAGAAAAGCTGTTCACATCATGCAGCCAGAAAGAAGAGAGGAAAGGGAGGAGCCAGGGACAGGAATATGTCCTTCGAGTGATGCTGTAATGGCCCACCTCCAACCAGGTCCCACCTCTTAACAGCACTTTCAGCAACTGATAAATATAGCATGATACAATCACCTTCCAAATATATGAGACTTTTAGGGGAGACACTTGATCCAAACCATAACTTTCTACCCCTGGCCCCAAAAGGCTCATAACTATCTCATTATGAAAATGCATTTAGTTCATCTCTGAAAGTTGCCAAATTCATAATTGTTACAGCATTGCTGAAAAGCCCAAATCCAAAGTCCCCTCTGAGATGCAAGGCAAATTCAAGTTAAATAATTCTAATATATAACGGCACAGGGTAAACATTCCCATTCCAAAAGGGAAGAATAGTAGAATAGAAAGGAATCACAACAAAGCAAGACCACAAACCAGCAGGGCAAACATTAATTCCTATAGCTCCATGTCCAGGACTCAGGGCAAGTTGTGATAAGATGTAAACCCTAAAGGGCTCAGGCAGCCCTGCCCCTATGGACTTATTGGTTGAAGCCCACAAGGCCTGTCTCTTCAACTGGTTATGCTTACTGCTTGGAACCTTCCTCAACAGATGTTCCATATTCCTGGCATCTCCAACTTCCTGAAGTCTACACTGTATCTTCAACTTTGCTCTCACAATTTCTTATACTGCCTTGGGCTCCTGGAAGGGACTGTGACTTCACTATACATATTTGCAAGGCTTTCCAGGCCTTCTGAAATCAGGGTGGAATCTTCTATAACCCAGTAACTCTTCCATTCTCCATGCCTAAGAAACTAGCACCACATGGAAAGTACCAAAGTTGGTCACCAACTTGAGCAGTAGCCAGGCTCCAGTGGACCATGGATGCAGTAGTCTTTGAGTATCTGGATGGCTGAATTTGGGGATACACTTCTCTAGGTGGTAATGACTGAGCAAGCATCTCAGGCACTCTCTTCTCAAATAAAAGTTTTATAGTTTTGTACCTCTTTTTCCCTGTGCAAAGTGTTTGATTTCTTTTTAATACTTATCTTTTCAGCAACCATGTTCTCATTTGTGTCAACTTTGTGGGTGCTTTTCTGGTGAAACTGCAAACTTTTAAAATCATTCACACCTGCTGTTTGCTCCTCATTCTCAGTGAAGATATGACTGAAAGTAGCAAGCAGTACCCTTGTCGTAGCTTGAATATTGGACTGTCTTGCATTTTCCTCCATCATGTTAATTAGCCCACTCCTCTTAATTTCAGTCTCCTGAAAAGTTTCAGGACATGGGCAAAATGTAGACAAATTTTCTGCCAGATTGTAGCATACATGGCTTCTAGTTCAACTGCCAGTGGAGTCCTTGCTCCCAATTGAAACCTCCTACACCTGGCCTTTACTGTCTGCATTTCTATCCTACTTTTGTCTTTTGAGCCCTGCCCAGTACCACGCATCAAGCACTACTCACAAAATTTTAGGACTTCTCTAACCCACATCTGCAAACCATTCCATCCTTTTCCTGCAAATCAGTTCCAAAAACTTTTGAAACACATGATCAGTTATAGTTAGAGTAATGACTCTATTCTTGAAGCCAATTTTTGCATTTGTCACTTTCCTGTCACTGAAACAAAATATCTGACACTTGTAACCTAGAGGAGAGGTTTATTTTGGCTCTCAGTTTCAGTGGATTCATTTGATTGCCAGGTATATTTTTGTGGTGTCACTATGCAGAAACCTGCCAATACTGTGCTTTCATTTAACACAGTTCTCACTAAAGCTTTCTCAAACTTTTAAGAGCTATTGTTTCGTACACCACTATGGTTGTCAGGTAGAAATTGTAGGAAGGAGATCAGTCATGATCACATGATGAAAAGGAGAAGAAGCCAGGCTGAACAGTAAAGCAGACACCAAAACCTGATGCTGGCATAGTGTTATCAACAAACAGACAATGTGTAAAGACAAAGTTCTTTGGCTGAGCTATCTTCCTTTCACGTCTCAGAATGCTGAATGGATAGAGTGCCATTAGAAGCCATTGCTATGCAGATTTAATGAGGATTATGAGTGACTATCAAAGTGGAGATCAAAGCAACATCCATAAATGCAATTTGATTTGATTGACAAAGAGCAGACCTAGATAGATTTTTACCCTTTATATGTGAAAAAAATAAAAGCAAACTTGGAATTATGATTTTCAGTTCCTAAACTTCTACATGAAAAATGAACATTTATGAATAGTCATTAAATTTGGTACATGGTAACAAAGGAAAAATGGGTGGGATTTTGCTTGGAAGAAGTTGAAAGTATAAAACTAAAGACAAATTCCTTATAAAGAAATCAGCTGAGGGCTGGGGATTTAGCTCAGCGGCAAAAGCGCCTGCCTGGCAAGCGCAAGGTCGTGAGTTCGGTTCCCGGTACCAGAGAAAAACCAAAAAAAAAAAAAAAAAAGAAATCAGCTGAATAGAATAGTTTCCAAAGATCCCAGTGCTTGTGAGAATCCAGTAAAGGTTGTGCTTAGAATGTTTAGAAAACTGTCTTTGAGGGGAAAAAGTATGTTAGAAGAGTTTCAGACTTGATATAGTCATCTTTACTGCAAGTAAAGATGATCTTTCTTCTTAACAATAGAAATATTTTAATAATTATAAGGGAATAAATATAAGATCTCAGCATTACCAAGGAAATCAGTAATTCTATTATATTGCTCCCTTATTAATTGTAACCTTTCCTTCCTTATTATTGTCAGCAATCTTATTATTAGTAGAATGCTTTTTAGTGCCCTGATATTTATCACAACAAAGAGCTTTCCCCTACACAAAGTGCTAGTTCTAGCTTTAGATTTGTTATAACCAGTATATTTCTTGGAGCAAGAATTGGCACACTTTTTTCCAAAAATGCTCAGGAAATAAATATTTTAAACTTCTCGAGTCACTTAGTCTCTGGTCATCTACTCAAGTCTGCCACTGTGGCATGAAAACACAGTGGACAATAGATCAAGAATGAATAGATCGGGAATGAATAGATCAAGAAAGAACATGGCTGTATTCCAATAAAACTTTATACAAATAGGTGGTAGCCCAGATATAGCTTGCAGACAGTGTTTACAGAGCCCCGTCCTTGATAGTTATCCCCTCCCCACTTATTCACTTAAAGATGAACACATAATAAAGAGCCACAAACTAGCAAGGGGCTTTTGTAAACTACCATAAGAAACAAAAAGGAAAGGAATGTGAAAACAAGCTAAGCTTTCACAGAAAAATTGATAACAGTTTTCCATGAAATTAAATTAAAGACAATGTGATATCTCAGGAAAAATAAAAGTATTTTTTTAAAAAAGAGATACATGGACTGAAGGAAGAAATGAGAAATAATACAAAAGACCAGAAAACCAAGTTGGTAGAGCTGGGAAAGGAGCAGAAGAAAATGTGTAAACATACAGAAATGGATATTATATTTACCAAAAGAAAGGAAGGAAGGAAAGAAACTTCCACATGCTTTCAAGGACATAAAGAATAAAACTGAAAGTTAAACAGAAAATCGTATGTTATAAAATGATAAAAGAGAGATTGATAAGAATGGAGGCTGAATAAGAGAATTCCAAAATGAGGATAATTGGTTTTCTGAAGAGAATGTGACAAATGCAGCAGGAAAGTGCACTCAGAATTCTGATGCTAGGACATTTTATTGAAATAGAAGCAACATTGGATCTACAGTCA